CCCAACGTTCCACTGCATTTAATGACTTGATGACCATAACACCAGATCTCGCTTGATCTCGGGCTCACGATATTCATTCGCCTTGATTTTCTTTGATTTGCTCTGCAATCTATTTGCATTTCTGCTCACCATCTCTTCTCGTTCACTCGCGTCTTTTTAAAGTTTGATATGGTTACATTTATTTACTTACTAGCTGCTAGGTAATTCCACGACCTCGGCCGTGATGGTCCAAAGCATGAAACCAATAATAAACACAATAATACTGCGCTGTTATGACGATTCTCGTTACTCCGTACATGGAACCTGACGTCGCGTATACTGACTGTAGTGACTGTACAGTACCTTGGAACGTCCTCCGTCGTCGTACTCCCACCTCACCTCACGCACTCAATTCACCCTGTTTTCCCTGATCACTATTATTAGCTGCCTCGGCCTGCCTGTTATTTGTAAATCATCGCATCCCAGCAGACTATGGTGGCCGTGATGATTGGCGCAGCCCTTGCGGTAAGACAACACTGTCAGTGTCAGACGGCACGACACGTGTCTCCGTATGGGTTAGGTACAGTAACTAACAGTGACCAGGTACAGTACTTGAGTACTCCATCGTTAGGTACTCTGAGTATCGACCACCACACCAGCTGTCAGATCTTACTCTGAATTATGGCCTTTATAAGTAACGGAGTACTACAGACAATTAGGTAGTAGATAGCTAGTTACCTCGTAACGATGAGATAGTCTGCCACGCGTCGAGTCTCGCGGCAAATCCTAGCGAGGCCAAAGGATGAGTGAGGCCTGATCGTACGAGGGCAGTGGTAGCGAGACGACAGCAAGTAGAACTAGAGAGAAAATATCGAAAATATAGAAAAGAACCAGTAAATGAATAAATAATAAATAGTAAAGAATAATAAATGATAAATAATAAATAATAGAATAGTGGTAGGTATCTCTCTCATCGAATGATCACAATATGGGACCAGTAATTCGCGTAACTAACCGCCACTGTCTCGTCTCGTTCCGTCTTGTCCCGTTCCCGTCTCGTTTCTTTCCTTTCCCCCCCCCAATTCCCTCTTCCTTTTCTCTCTTCGCCCTCCCGCCCGAGTCTCGCTTCTTCGACTCTTGCTCCTGCTCCCTGCATCGTTTCTCGCCCGGTCGTCATCAACAGGCAGCTGAGAGATTACAATCCTCTTCCCAACCGCTTATTCTTCTCCAGCGTTCTTTTTTTTTTTCTTCTCCCTCCACCATGGGTCGCACTGTCGACCAGGAAGTCCACGCCGCGTTCGTCGAGTTCCGCGCCAAGGAAGACGATAAGGTGCGTGACCCGTATATACCGTAATATTTCGGTCGCAGGGGAGAAAGACCGCGCAGCGTCACTGACCGTTACACGCTTTGTGTATTCTCTCCAGTGTCTTTCCGTCCAGTGTATCTACTGCCAGCAGATCCGGGCAAAGAACACCTCCCGTCAGAAGCAGCACCTGCTCGAGTGTCCCGGCCTGCGCGGCCACAACGCCCCCCCCCAGCCGCAGGCTCCTTCTGCCCAGGCGGGCCCGAATGGCATCGGCGCTGCCAACGGCTATCCTGCCACGCCGAATGGGCCGACAGCCACCGCGCCCGGGGCAGGCCCGGGCCCAGGGCCGGGCAGCATCGCGGCCACCAACGGGGCCGCCATGATGGCCAACGGCGTCAACCCGCACGGCACCCCGATGCAAACCTCGCTGCAGAGCCTGCAGAACCGTCCCTCACTGCCTGCCTCCGCGGGGCCCGGTGCTCCCGGGGGGAGTGCCAACGCCATGAACCGCCAGCCCGCGCGCCAGACCCCCAAGCCCAAGCCGAAACCGAGTAATTCCAGCCTACCGGCGCCGCCGCTCGATGATGTCCATGCTGCGTTTGTCGAGTTCCGCGCCAAGGAGGATGACAAGGTGAGAGAAGAAGCTTTCAAAGCTTGATAATGTGGTGTAGCTAATTAGATAAGTGTCTCTCTGTTCAATGCATCTACTGCCAACAGGTCCGCGCCAAGAACACCAGCCGTCAGCGACAGCACCTCCTCGAATGTCCAACCTACCTGAGCGTAATGAAGGACTCAATCCCTGCGAACAACCTGTTGCACACCTTCCCCGAGGGCGAGGTGGCGCGCTCGCTACAGATCCCCGCCCCCTCGCTGGAACTGGATTTCCGCATGAGCATCAAATTGAACCCTAAGGTCTCGGCGGGCGTGAGCATCTGGGGGCAGCGCGACTGGGTGACCTTTGTGGGGGGGCAGTGGGCCGGTCGATGGGGGAAGGGGGTTGTTTTGGTAAGTCTTTTTTTTTTTTTTTTTTTTTTTTTTTAAATGCGTTTCGTTTCGTTACCTTGATGTTTGCCCCGTCTAACTGTTTAGCCCGGTGGCCAAGATTCGCAGGTCATCATCAAGGAATACGTCACGGGTCTCCGAGCGAGCTACATGCTGCAGACCAACGACGAACCTCCGGCGTACATCATCGTCAAGACCCAGGGCTGGCTGACGGGGGCCAAGGACGTGTTGGAAAAAGTCAACGACGCCGGTGTCGCCGACTCGGTCAACCCCAACTCGTACAAGTACCGCGTCAACCTGTCCATGGAGACGGGTGACGAGCGCTACGCCTTTCTGAATACCCTGATGTGGATTGGGAGTGGCTGTCGCCGGTCCCACGAGGGTAAGCCTTTCCAATCATCATAACCATCACGATTCACAATTATTCTGACAAGCTAATTGCAGTCATTTTCGATGCCTTCCGCGTCAACTAATCTTTTCTGTCGTTATATTGAGCGAGTGATTTTCTTTGTGGCGGGAAAAAGGGGGATTGTTTTTCGAGTTGATATTGAGGCGCAACTCTCCGATTCATTGGCGTTCTTCTGCCTTGCAGTTCTTGATCCGATCTATTTTACCTTGTTGACATCTTTGATCCTGGTTGCCTTTGGTAGTGGTTCAAGTCTCTTATTCCGGTCTAGCACATGTATGAGCCTATTACTAGTATGATCTATAAGATGAGATGAATAGTGTAACATACGTTATTGAGTATCAAAGAATGCTGTATGGTCATTTGTATTACCATACGGTATTAGGTAATATAAATAGAGTATCAAGGTACAGAACAGATCTTAGGAGTCAACTAGATAATAATGGTTAATATCGAGTAGCTTATTTCCTGAAGTACTGAATCTGTACTTGATTCATGTATGCAGACTTGATAAAGTTGATCTACAATATTTCGATACGGCCCACCTGTCGTACTTGGTAGTACCTCTTTGTAGTTACTAGGTAGGTACTTTGTAAAGTACGAGTACGCAGTACCAGATAATTGTTACACATTACAATACTATGTAGGTACATACCGTAGCTAGCTTAGGTAGGTACCTGAAGTACCTTAGATAGATACCTAACCAAGTATTTATCTTCTACTTTTCCTCTACTCTACTCTCTCTACCCTACTCTTTACTTCTCACTCAACATGATGGACCTCGAGACCAAAGCCCACCGTCAATTCGACGAGATGGCGCGCCAGGGAGGAATCCTGTACGAGGACACCCCGGCGGAGCTCTACACACACAATAATTTCCCGGTACCTCACCTACTCTACAAGTGAACCGACGAAACTGATGCTGGCGATGTGTTTCTAATACTAACAGTTCGAATTCCGCATCGTCCCCTACTTCACACGCAAACCCATCCTCCCCGCCGACGCCTCCCGCCGCACCGCAACGCGCAGCCCCTTCCTGAACCCTCCGCCGGACGAGATCGTAGCCCACCTAGGCGACGACGACACCCACATCCTCCTCCTGAACAAATACAGCTGCTACGCGCCCAGTCTGGTGGTGGTCACGCGCGAGTTCGCCGTGCAGTCCGACGATCTGGACGCGGCGGATTTCGCTGTGGCGTGGGCCTTGTTGGGCGAGTTTACCCGCCACGACATGTTTCTCGTGTATAACTGCGGGGTCAACTCGGGGGCTTCGCAGGGTCATAAACATATGCAGTTGTTGCCTTTACCGGGGTATACCTTGTGGCCGAAGGCGGGACTTGAAACCACTACTTCTCCGCCAGGAACTGTTCTCTCTTCCATACCGAACGTCCCGTTTGTTCATTTCGTGGCGAGGATAGAAGACGCAGATGATGATGCTGATGTGTACGCACTGTACGTGCGGCTGCTTGGGTTAACACGACAGGCCCTCGCCGCGGCGGGCGATAGTCGCGACTACAATCTCGCCATGACGAGGGAGTGGATGGCGTTGATCCCGCGGACGACGGCCGGGCCGGAAGGGCCCTGGGGCGCAAATACGATGGGCATGCTGGGCATGGTTGCCGTGAGGAGCGAGGCAGAGCGCAAGCGATGGGCGGAGCTGGGGTATACGCATTACTTGGCTTGGTTGGGGATTCCGATAGACAGTAGTAGTACTCCGTAGTAGGAGTAGTATTTTTTAGTAAGGGCTTTAAGTAGGTAGTAGTGTGTCTAGTGTCCGAGATTTCTCGGAGGAGGCAGAGCAGGTCCCTCGGGAGTCACGTAGGCCTTTGTCATGCCGCCGTCGACGACGAAATCGGTCCCGTTGACGAAACTGCTCTCGTCGCTGGCAAGGAAGACCACGGCGTGCGCCTGTTCGATGGCTTCGCCGAACCGGCCTGTCGGGAAGTGGACCTCGCGTCGGAAGCGTTTGGGTTGATCGTCGCCCAGCCAGTCTTGAAGAAGGGGGGTGCTAATAGTCTGTGAGTAACGAGAACGGAGTACGGAATGTAGGGATAAGGGATTAAGGTACTTTAGAGGAGCAGGGCACAAGGCGTTGAAGCGGAACCCCTCGCGGGCATGGACAATGGCCAGCTCGCGGGTCAACGCGAGGACAGCACCCTTGCTCGCCGTGTAGGCGAGCTGAGGGGTGGCGCTGCCGACGAGCGCCACGACGCTGGCCGTGTTGATGATGCTGCCCCGGGCCTTGCCGTGACGGCGCAGACTCTGCACGGCGTGCTTGCAGCCGAACCAGACCCCCTTGACGTTGATGTTCTGCGTCAGGTCCCAGATCTTCTCCGGGGTGTCGACCGCGTCCGCGTCGTCGGCGTGCATGATCCCTGCGTTGTTGAAGATCACGTCTGTTCCACCCCAGCTGTCCTGGCTCTCCACCATCGCCTGCACTTGCTCTTCCTTGGAGACATCGCACTTGATCGTTTCCACCCGCTCGGCCTCGGGCACCACCTCCCTCACCTTCGCCAACGCCTTGGCCAGCGCCGGTTCCGAGATGTCGGCCATCAGCACCCGGGCGCCCTCGCGGGCAAACAAAATGCTGGTCTCAAGACCAATGCCTCTAGGATGTGTTAGCATCCAACACTCAGTATCTCATATCTCATATCTCATGTATCCCGACTGTCTAGCACGCACCCTGCTGCACCGGTGATAATGGCATTCTTGCCTTGGAGACGTCCTCTGGGAGTAATCGTAGCCATTTCTGCCCAGTTAGCATAGCTTCATCCCCCACAGACCACAGCATCACCACTTACTCGTTCCTGCCAACCCTTGGAATGATGGAGAGAGAAGACCCGTAGAGGACACAACGACAACTATCTCATGGCGGGGTATGTGGACCGCTTATCTAACCAGGTCTTTCGTCTAGGCAGTTACCCTCCCCGACAGGACAGTAAGATATACTTTATACCAATCATTGAAACATCTCTTCCGATGTTTCCTTCTTCCTATTCCTAGAACCTGCTTTCCCTTTTCCAATGCCACAATACTGCCCTGCTCGTACTCATCTCCGCGTCGATATCGGAACGGGCGAGATAAGCTGCTGATAGCGACTCCGACGAGGTGGAACGTCTCTGTAAGGGCCAGCGACGTCGACTCGAGATACCCCACCATCTACCGTGCTATTGAACAATAATTCACATACTCCGAATACTGAATATAATATCCTGGATATTCTTTGAATAAAATGTCCATCGAGCCGGACATCACCCTCGACAATGTCGCCCAGATCCTCCAGCACGACACCAAGGTGAAGCTGGCGGGCGTCGACGTCGACGGCATCCTGCGCGGCAAGCTGGTCTCGAAGAGCAAGTTCCTGTCGATTGTGGCCGACGGGTTCGGCTTCTGTTCGGTGGTCTTTGGCTGGGACATGCACGACCGGACGTATTTCAAAGAGCTGGCCATCAGCAATAAGGAGAACGGGTATCGCGACCTTGTCGCCATTCCGGACCTGCGCAGCTTCCGTCGGATCCCCTGGGAAAATAACGTGCCCTTTTTTCTTGTCAGCTTCTTCGATCCGGATACGAGGGAACCGGTATGTGCTTGTCCCCGTGGGCTACTCAAGACGGCGTCGGGGAGGGTAGAGGCGGCTGGTTATCGGGCTATGGCGGGGGGTGCGTCTCTCTCTCTCTCTCTCTCACACACACACATTAATACGCCCTCTCTCTAACTTCTCTTAGCCGAGTATGAGTTCTATCAATTTCGCGCCCCGGGAAACAATTCTACCCCAGAACGCAACGCGTCGGCTACGGCGGCCTTTCTCAAGGAGAACCCCGTCGAGGCGCTCCCCCCGTTGACCGAGGGTATGTTTGGATACAGTATCACCCGGCCGATCCATAACCAGGAGTACTATTATGGTATTTTTGATGCCTGTGAGGAGTTCAGATGCGGGATTGAGGGGTGGCATACCGAGAGCGGGCCTGGTGTGTTTGAGGCGGTGCGTGACGTTTCCGGGTTCGACAGCGACTACGGCTGACTGGTCTAGGCGCTTCAATATAGCGAAGCCAAAGATATGGCCGACAAGGCTGGACTTTTTAAGTGAGTGATCAGATACAAAAAAAAGATTTTGCGATGCCAGCTAGTTAATGGCTAGATACGTCGTCAAAGCGATGGGTACGAAACACGGCATCACCCCCGCGTTCATGGCGAAGCCGCGCGAGGGCCTCCCCGGAAACAGTGGACATATGCACATCTCGCTCGTGACGGAAGACGGGAAGAACGCCTTCTTCCGCGAGACCGCGGACCCGTCGCCGCCCTATCCGGATGTCGCCAATCTGTCTGACCTGGGGCGACATTTCCTTGCCGGTCTGCTGGAAGGATTGCCGGACATCATGCCCCTGTTAGCTCCCACGGTGAACTCGTACAAGCGGCTGGTCGAGAACTTCTGGGCCCCCGTGACGGTCTCGTGGGGACTAGAGCACCGCGCAGCCTCGATCCGGCTCATCACCCCGCCGACCGCCAGCCCCAAGGCGACACGGTTCGAGGTGCGCGTGCCCGGCGCTGACGCCAACCCGCACTTTGTCCTGGCCGCGATCCTCGCGCTGGGCTGGCGCGGGGTGGAAAAGAAACTCGAGATCCCCGTGCCGCCGCTGTCGAGAGGCCAGGAAATGGGAGACGACGAGGGAGACCAAGGCATCCGGCTCGCCAAGTCCCTGCGTGAAGCCACCGCGACCTTTATGCGTCACGACAGCATCGCCCGCGAGGTGTTTGGCGATGCCTTTGTGGACCATTTCGGGGGCACGCGCGAGCATGAAGTACGCCTGTGGGAGGAGGCCGTGACAGACTGGTAAGTTCTATCTAAAGTAGTTGTGTTTTGCGTTTTATCTACTAATCTTGTTCTAGGGAGGTACGACGCTACATCGAGACTGTCTAGGGAGATGTATACTAGACTGCTCTTCAAGAGATGACCATCAGAATGATGTACATATACTACTACATGATCAATTACTGAAAATTATTCCACCTTAATCTATACCTATATATCACATGCTGTCACATGCATATTGTAAGCCACGGCATACGGAGTAGTAATGAGTAGGTACCTGGTAGAGGAATTACATATGGTTTAATTCATTATCATGTTACAACTTTATGATAAAATTATTCCAATAAATATATGAATACAGCAGACAGAGGAAACTATTTACTATACTATATTTTCTATCTATACTATAACCAACTGGTGAGTCACTAAACTTAAATCTAACCTAGGTTATTCATAGCCTTGTCGATCAGGCATCAACCGGGAACACTCGGGCCGGTAAGACCCTGCCATAGGGACTTGTAAGTAGTTTATACAGTAGTTTGTACAGCAGTTTATACAAGATAAATTATAAAGAATGAGATAGAATTCAATTAATATAATATATAATAAATAGTCATTATCTACATACGCTGGACTGTACGGTATGCGGCGCCTGCCGATAGCCTTAAATATCTGGAATACGCTGATAACGATGGCGGGGAACAGAGTCGGCCGAGAAGCAAAGAGTTTCCCGCGGGGAATCACAGGGAAGACATCCAATGATTAGGACTGTACAGAGCAAACTTCCATTTGTCCAGGGAGTCATGACTGAGTCTGGGTCGGGTATTCCTCTGGACCGCGGTTGTTGTGACGTAAGTGAGTTTATCAGATAGTACCTAGGTATCTATATAGTCTGACTGCAATGCCCTTTTCTTTTCTTCATTCCTACTTTATCTCGGTTTAGAAGTAGTGTTCAGTAGAAGACTGAAGTGACCACTGACAAGTCACGATGGATCACGTGGACACCCAACTGAAGGAAGTCGCCATCCTCGGCGCCCTCAACGACGAAACCCGCAAGATCCTCACCAAGGAAGCCTGTGCCTTCCTGGCCATCTTGCACCGCACCTTCAATTCCACCCGCAAGGCTCTCTTGCAGCGTCGCGTCGACCGCCAGGCTGAGATCGATAAAGGCCATCTGCCCGACTTCCTCCCTGAGACCAAGCACATCCGGGAGAACGATGCCTGGAGGGGTGCACCTCCTGCCCCTGGTCTTATTGACCGTCGTGTCGAGATCACCGGGCCTACAGATAGAAAGATGGTGGTCAACGCGTTGAACTCGGATGTGTGGACTTATATGGCGGATTTTGAAGGTAACTTCTTCTTCTCTCCTCCTCCTCCTCCTCCTCCTCCTCCTCCTCATCCTTCCTCTTCTTCTTCTACAATTGCTAATTATGCTCAAGACTCGAGCGCTCCCACTTGGGAGAACATGGTGAATGGTCAGGTCAACTTGTACGACGCGATTCGTCGCCAGGTCGACTTTAAACAGGGCAGCAAGGAATACAAGTTACGCACTGACCGGACACTGCCCACGCTGATTGCCCGTGCGCGCGGCTGGCACTTGGAGGAGAAGCACTTCACCGTCAACGGCGAGCCAATTTCCGGTAGTCTGTTCGACTTTGGCCTCTATTTCTTCCACAACGCCAAAGAGCTCGTTGCCCGTGGCTATGGCCCCTACTTTTACCTGCCCAAGATGGAGTCGCACCGAGAGGCTCGCTTGTGGAATGATGTCTTCAACCTTGCCCAGGACTATATCGGCATGCCACGGGGCACCATTCGAGCCACCGTGCTGATCGAAACCATCACCGCTGCTTTTGAGATGGACGAGGTATGTCATAGTTTCAAATTACAAAATCCATAAATACTAACCATCTAGATCATCTATGAACTACGAGACCACAGCTCCGGCCTCAACTGTGGACGATGGGATTATATCTTCTCCTTTATCAAGAAATTCCGTAACCACCCGGGTTTCGTTCTCCCCGATCGCTCGGATGTGACCATGACGGTTCCTTTCATGGATGCGTACGTGAAGCTGTTGATTCAGACTTGCCACCGCCGTGGTGTCCACGCAATGGTACATCCTATCTTATCTCTCCTATCAAAATACTCTTTACTGATTCAGTAGGGCGGGATGGCTGCTCAAATCCCCATCAAAGACAATGCCGCCGCAAACGACAAGGCGATGGAAAGTGTGCGCGCGGACAAGCTGCGTGAGGTGCGCGCCGGCCACGACGGCACCTGGGTTGCTCACCCGGCCCTTGCCGCCATTGCGTCCGAGGTGTTCAACAAGTATATGCCGGCACCGAACCAGCTCTACATCCGCCGCGAGGATGTCCACATCACAGCCAACGACCTCCTCAACACTAATGTCCCGGGAAAAATCACCGAGGATGGTATCCGTAAGAACCTGAACATCGGACTGTCCTATATGGAGGGCTGGCTCCGTGGTGTTGGCTGTATTCCTATCAACTACCTGATGGTATGTTTTTTTACTCTCTCCTTTCATTCTTTGTTTTCTTTTGATGTTAACAACCTCTAGGAGGATGCCGCCACCGCCGAAGTCTCTCGTTCTCAGCTCTGGCAATGGACGCGTCACAACGTCACCACCGCCGAAGGCAAGAAGATGGACAAGGCATACGCGCTGCGCCTGTTACAGGAACAGGCCGACGCCCTTGCTTCCAAGGGCCCCGCGGGCAACAAGTTCCAGCTGGCAGCTCGGTACTTTGCCAACCAGGTCACCGGCGAGGACTATGCGGATTTCTTGACCACCCTGCTGTACAATGAGATTTCTTCTCCAGGCACGGCTGCAAAGCTGTAACTCAAGTCACCTGTATATTATGAATTATGATTATTCTTTGTTACCAATGTCAATAATGTACGCACAAGAGCACAAGAGTATTTCTTTTGGCAGAGCGGAAATTTCCGCCCACAGCGGAATTGCTGACATATGCTCATCAATCCAAGCCAACGCTGACAAAATCGATCAGTATACTACATAGTACATAGAGTATCTAGAACGCTTTTAAATATTTTTAATCAATTAAGCTCTGCTTAGTCTAGGATTAGCATATCACACTAGAATTTTCTAGTATATCTTTCCCTGGTACAGCAGGAGTGGTATCCCTGGCCAATGTCTTCCTCATCTTCCTCTCCCACGCCCACGCCGCAAATCACCCCCGGGACCTCCGTGCCATCATTTTGGTCAGGCAAACGGCTCCTCATCGCATCGGCCGTGACGCTGGCGTTCTCAGTCCTAGCTGCTATCTCCTTCCGAACCACAGGCGGCGTGAGCAGGTCGGCTCTGGCTCGATCGGCATCTCATCTTCCAAAGACTCCGCCTGCAGATCTTCAAATGAGGACTCCGGTTTATTTCCTCAGTCATGGGGGGGTAAGTACCCTATAGGCCACAGAGTTGAGCTAGATAAACAAGGGGATATGCTGACGATTAGCCCAATATCATGTATGACCATGAACACCCTGCATACCATAAACTAGGCGAGATTGGCCGCGAAATCACAACACAAGTCAGGCCGCGCGCGGTGGTCGTCTTCTCTGCTCACTGGCAGGCTGGCCGGGACACCGTGCAGGTCAACACCGCAGAGTTGACGGATTTAATCTACGAGTACGTACTATACTTGATTTGCAAGTTTATCAAGAACCAAGTATTGATTGATGTAGTTTCTATGGCTTCCCCTCGCACTACTATAAAGAGACGTACCCGAACGTCGGGAGCAGGGAGGTCGCAAACCGGGTTCTGCAATCGTTGCAGGAGGCCGGCATCAAGGCCGAGGGCGTCAACAGGGGGTTGGATCATGGAGTCTGGGCAAGCTTCAAGTGTGGTAGGTGAAAGAACCCCGACAAATTTAATAATACGTGAAGAAATGAAATTAATGTCGAAGCCTTCCCCGAGGAAAACCCACTCAACGTGCCCATCGTGCAGGTCTCGCTGTTCAAGAGCGAGGACCCCCTGCAGCACATGCGGCTCGGCCAGGCCGTCTCCAAACTGCGCGACGAGAACATCCTTATCATCGTCTCCGGGATGGCCGTGCACAACCTGCGCGACATGCAGTTCACCTGGGGCGATCCGCGTCCGCTGCCCTACACGGTCAGCTTTGACGAGGCCCTCAAGGACGCCGTCATGACCGCCCCGGGCGCAGACAGGGAAAAGGCCATGGCCGAGTTGCTCAAACGGCCCGATGCTCGCCAGGCGCATCCGCATTTCGACCATTTGCTGCCGATCCATGTTGGCGCGGGTGCGGCGGCCAACGACGCCGGAAAGCGTCTCTGGACGTTCAAGGAGGGTAGCATGAGTTGGGCGCAGTACAGGTTTGGCGAGATCCGTAGTGGTTTCAATAGTACCTTGTAAAAAAAAAAAAAATAGAAAGAACTCTTTATTCCACACGCTTGTCTACAATACAACCCATCCTACAGACTCTCCTTCACCAGTTGAGTCACTTTCTCTTCGATCTCCTTGTCCGTAAGGCCTAAAACGGTCAGCAAACTGTCACCACAGGAAGATGCAGATATGCAGAGAGATGGAATACACGGACCGGACAGCGTTTCCTGCTTTTCCTTTCCAAATCCTGGCCAACCGATTAACCTGTCTGTTCTGACTCTCCTTAAAGTTTCCCATGGAGTATCCCATCACGTACCGTATCTCGCGAAAACTCGAGGCTCCGTCGCGGCCGCTTCACGCATCAGAATGGGGACATACGGGTTGTGCTTCTTCATGGTGGGGTATGCGCGGTGCAGGAACGACCTATTTCAATCAGCCGGACATATTATACGCCAAAAGGCTAAATCAATCCAATTGAATACCTGGTTGCAGCGCTCTGTTCCGAAGTATGGCAGAAGAGGAAGCGCAGCTCCTTCAGACTCTTGGTGAAAACGTATTTGGAAGACATGGCGTAAAACCTCGCTGTTGTCGAGAATCCCTTGCAGTATCCTGTACCCGCCGTGTAATTCAACAACGTACCAAGGGAATCGGGGGGGTATCAATGACAAGAAACAACGGGAGCCGTGAAGCAAAGGGTGTCGAGGTCGGCGGCGGATCTGGCGATGATTCTCACGAGGTTCAAGTCGACCAATCCGGCTAAGCGCCGTGATGCTTACTCAGCGGTCTGCGAGTCACCAGCTGATTACAGGGACAAAGGGATCAATGTTCTTATAGTATATAGAAGAAATTAAGAGTATAATCTCTAATTTATACGTCTATTTTTGGCAGCTTCCAGTCTTCTACAGCTTCAGTTCTTGCACCGTAGAGGAAGATCGTTAGAGGAAGCTCACTTTATCTCCGCCCCCCGACCGGTCCGATCTTTTCTCCCCATCTCAACGACGACTCAACAACAACTGAACCTACTCAGCAGGCGCCGTTGTTTTCTTTCCGCCCCCCCCCTCTCCCCTCCACAGCCTATTCCCCTTGTCTTCTCAAGATGTCGTCGTCACGCGTCGGTCTCCGTTTCTTCCAGAACTCTCGCGCTGCGTTCCGCAATGCGTCCGCACCTTTCCGCCGCCAGGGCGCCCAGTCTCGCCGGTGGCAGAGCGCCGAAGCCGGGGAGCAGCAGACCATCTTCCAGCGTCTATGGAATAGCCCGGTCGGTGTGAAGACTGTTCACTTCTGGTATGTCTTTTCCCCCTTATCATAGAGACCTTTAGAATGATGCTGATTGTTTTAGGGCCCCCGTCATGAAGGTATGACTACCATACCCATATCGAACTATGAGAAAAAGAGACAAATACTAAACCAGACCAGTGGGGTCTCGTCATCGCAGGCATCTCTGACTTTGCTCGTCCGGCCGAAAAGCTCTCGCTGACCCAGAATGCCGCCCTGACTGCCACGGGTGCGATCTGGACCCGGTGGTGCCTTATCATCACACCGCGCAACGTTTTGTACGATTTAAAATGGTCCCCCTGATTGAAAACGGGTGGTATACTGATTTTGGATTTTCCCTTTTGTTCACAGGCTCGCTACCGTCAACTTCTTCCTCGGATGCGTCGGTGCCGTCCAGGTCTCGCGTATTCTCATGTACAGACGCAGCCTGAACGACGGCTCTAGCGTCGAGGCGGCCAAGGATATCGAGGCCGAGGTCGTGGATGCCGCCAAGTCGGTGGTGGAGAAGACCGAGAAGGCCGTCGAGAAGGCCATCGAGAAGGCCGCTTAGATGGGCGTTTTGAGACGGAAATAAACCGGGCACTTTTCAGGCCACTTTTGGACGGGACACAAAAAAAAAACGGAATTGTCGGTCAATTTGTATTAGTGCTTGTTGGATGGTCAGGATACGGGGCGAAGCGCATTTGGACATTGTATATATCAAGCTGGCTTTTAGATGAATGTCTCGGAATATCATCCATAATCTTATTTGAGTCTATTTAGATGACCTGGATGAACAATCCAACCTACAAGTCCCTTATCAGATAAATCAAGCCGAATCTAAATACCATCCACATGGGAGGTAGTTGCAGCTGATTCACGGTTGATTACATCAAGAACGAGCGAGCTCGTGCTTATTGATATCGGAAAATTTGCTCTGGTCATTTGACGGGAGGAGCGAGTTCTCCGGTTCGATTGTAAGTACGACTGCCCAAATTGTCGTTTCCTGAGTAAATGTCCACCCATACGTCTGATGCAGATCGCCAATTTGAGAAATCAGACGTCTCTCTTAACGGTTAGGAAACGTTTGGAATGGAATATGACATACAGACCATGTTGGACAACTCGCAAACAGCGTTTTGAAAGGGAGACTGGTAGGGCCATACAAATCAAGAGACGATTCTTCCATGTTATTTCCCTTAGACTTCATGAAGCTGATAGAATATTGGGCAAATGTTTTATTAGTTCCCTACCTTGTATACTCAAATGGGAAGCCAGCTGCAGATAAATCCTTTGCATCGAGTACTGTTTTGCACCGCAAACTGCCCATCATTCCTACGCCATCCATTTATAGTAGCCGATTCACTGCCATGGAAAGCTGTATGACCAGTCTCGCCAGGCCGTCGATCTGGCATGGTCACGAATCGGTTCCCTGATAAAGTGTAGACAGTCACGAGTTCGTTAGAACTAGGTTATCTGCCAGTCTCTTGCACAATCCACCTCGGTGATACTATTGATAGAACATGCTGATTCATCTTCGCAATTTCCATTGATAAAATATGAGAACGGACTGTCTCTGCTATATAGAACCTCGGCCGTTAGTTAGTTCTCCTCTAATACCCAGCTTTCCTAACTCACCAGTATCGATTCCTGTCTCATACGTCATGTCACCGGTCAGTAGAGCAATGGTAATTCAGATTGGTTGCAAGAATGCAGGGATCTGGGTTAGTAGCAGTCTAATAGGCGGATTCCAAGCATTGACCCTGATTGCACCCTTTGAAAACACCTCAGGGCTGGAGGACTAAGCGGTGAAGCTTTCTGTTGCAGAAAAGGATGACCTTGAGGCTGCCAATCAGGATGATTTGCGTATATTTACAGCGTCACCTAACTAGCTAAGCCTAATATAGTTAGTATTATACTCTAATTTTTTATTTACTTAATATATCTAGCTTAACTAATATTAAATATACTAAGTAGTATATAAATTATATAAAAATATAATACTATTAGTCTTAAATATATATAGGATTTATTAAAGTTATAAGCCTAATTAACTCTTAATTATTATTATATTTATTTATAAACTTTAAAGACTTATTAAAGATATAAAACTACTATATTAATAATATTACTAAGCTAAAATAATATTTATAAATCTATATTATATATATAGACTACTAATATATTATTAATAAGCTAAAGATAATAAGTATTCTAAATAAGATATTAAATAATATAAAGATATTAATTCTATTAAAAAAAATATAAATTAGTATCTTTAATATAAAGCCTTATAAATTATTATAGATTTATATAATATTTAAGATTATATTAATTTAAATAATAATATAAAATTAAAGTTATTAATAGCTTTAAATATTATAGATTATAATAAAGAGGTATAATTATCTAGAGACCTAAAGAGATATTAACTAATTATATATATTAAAGCTAATAAAAAGTATTATTATAAGTAAAAGAAATATAAATAGTTAAAAATAAGGATCTCTTATATCTTAAGCTATATATTTTAGTCTATATAGACTAATCTTTTAATTATTATAATTAATAATAATATTATAAAGAGAATAATTAAGTAGTTATAAATATATTTAATATTAATAAAGATATATTATAAAATTAAGCTAATAAATTAATAAAGAAATATTAATAATAAATATATATTAAAGATTAATTTAAATAAATAGTTAAATAACTAGAAATCTATATATTATAATTATAAAGATATAAGGATTAGAGCTATTATAAATAAGATATAATTAATATTATAATTCTTAAATTATATTAATTAACTTTATAAAGACTATATATTAAATATAGAGTTAAAGCTTTAATATAAAGACCTATAGATAATAACTATTAATAAACTATTAGTAGATTTTTAATAATATCTTATAATATAATTAAATAAGTATATTAACTTTATAGATATAATATTTATAATATATAAAAAATATAATAAAAATAAATAAAAGAAGGCTAAAAAGAAGATTAATAAAAATTAGATTTAAGGCCCTTATAAACTAAAAAAAAGAAATAAATATATATATAATAAATAATATTTATTTAATATATATCTATATATTAATAAGTATATTTAGAAGCTAGAATAAAAACTAGATAATACTATTATAAAGAGATATAAATAGATAGAGAAGAGAATCCTTATATTAAAAAATACTATAAATAAGGCTTATAAGAAGATAAATAAGCTCTATATAAAGAGAAAAAAGATATATAATATTAATATTATCTATTAAATATATAATATTAATATTATCTACTAAATATATAATATTAATATTATCTACTAAATATATAATATTAATATTATCTATTAAATATATAATATTTATAATATATATATTAAACTTAATAAGGATAAGTATATAATTAAGAGCTTTATAATAAGCTAAACTATTAATATGAATAATATATATATTTAATAAAAAGTAAATAAATTATTTTATATATAATATTATAAAATATATATTAAATAATAGTTATATCCTAGATTTAGATATAAGTATATATATCTATAATAATTAATCTAGATTTATTATATATATACTAGTTAATAGTATATTATAGACTAATATAAAGTATAGTCTATATAAGAGAGTAGATATAATTATAATATATTTTAAGATAATTAATAAATATTAGACCTTTTTAGATCTTAAAGATATAATCTATATCTTAAGATTTTATATAAATCTTATATTATATAAGTAATTAAAAGAGAAAGAATTATATTAAAATAACCTAAATATATAATTTATAAATAAACTAATTAATATTTATATTATTTAAAATAAGTATAATTAATTTATACTTAAATATAATAAATTATAAACTATATTTATAATAAATATAATATTTTAAGTTATAATAATAATTATAACTAATAATATAAAAATTATAAATAAAGATTTATAGAGATTATAAAAACCCCTAATAATAAAAAGAACTATAAAGAGATAATATAAATAATATAGTTATATTAAATATAACACCTTAAAGCATCTTATAGATACTATTAATAATATTAAGATTATAAATAATATTAAGAAGCTAAAGAGTAAATATTATATTTATAAACTTATCTTTATTCTATAAAAAATATTAAAATAATTAATAATATATATAAATAAATTATTTAAATATATGTATTTTAATCTTATTTAAATAATTATAAGCTATAATAGCTTAAATTAAGTTATATATTTTATTAATAATATAATAAGATTTTATTAAATTAAGTATATTAAGTATAAGAGTAATATTTATAAAATAATAATAGACCTTAAAGATTAAGTTAAATATTAATTTAATATTAAGATAAAGATATATTATATAAATAATAAAAAGGTCTTAATTAAAGATATTAATCACCTTATTATTAATATAATATTAAAATAGATAGTTTTAGGAATAATAGAATAGAATAGTGTGATATCGTGAGCGAGTGATATTGTGAACTCCTATGTGGCCATGAGCAAGATCACCTTGGTAGAATGCTAAGATGCCTACTCACTAATAATACAAGATCTCCTAACCCTAGTAGAGCAGTTATATAGAGTTTTTACTTTATATTAGGGATTAATTAATTCTATAGAGTTTTATTATTATTAGGTTACTTAGCTTTTAATAAGCTAAAGAGAGGTATATAGATACCTTCCCTCTAACCTATAATAATAATAGAATAAAGATTTCTTAGAGACTGTTAGCTTTTAAATATTATATCTAATAGTATATTATATTAAGGATTAGCCTCTATGCTGACCCTAATAGACTACCACTCTATAGATAATATCTAAGGATTAATAAGATTTAAAAGCAGGATAAAAGGGACGAAAGACCCCTTAAGTAAAGAAAGAAGAATTATTAAGTATCTTTACTAAAGAAACTAAATAAATAAAAGACTTAATCTTCTACTATAAGTTAATAATAAACTTTATTAGTAATATATAGAATCACCTATTACCTAAGGTATTTAAAATCCTCTTAATAATTATAACTATTAGAATAGATAAGATAGATGTTTACCCTCTTTTTAGACATCTAAAGTAAGTACTCTAAAATAAAAGAGGCTAAGTAAATTATCTAGTCTAGGAATTTAAGACTACCTATATATAGGTAGCTTAACTCTAGGATAACCTCTATTAAATAACTATTAGGTAGTTAAGTCTCTAGAATAACACCTAAGTAGCTACTAAAGAAACTAGCTATTAGAAGTTAACTAATAATTTTAATAACTAAAATAAATGCCCCTATTAAAAGATCTTAGAACTTAACTAAATCTTTAAATATATAAGTAAATATTAAGATAAGGGCGCCTAAAAATGGCTATAGTAAGTAGATAAATACTTTTAAAATAAAGAAGTCTTATATAAGAAGTTTATCACTAATAGAGAGAAGGTCTTAATAATAAAATAAAAACTTAATAGTAAGGTATATAAATAATAGAGGCATTTATAAAGCTCTATTAATAATAAGCTCTATACCCTCATTAAAACTATAGTAGAATTTAAGAAGTAGATTATTAATAATTATACTAAATATCTTAATAAGAAACACTACTAGGAGGTATATAAGAGTCTTATCTAAAGAAAGTAACCTATTTAGATATATACCTATAAACTAGTAGAAGTTATAAA